CCCCAAAACCCCAAAACCCCAAGAGGTGAATATATTATAAATATTTGAATATTAATAAAACAATTAGTAATTAATAGATTATATCTTTATTAATGTCTTTGTGCAAGTTTATACTATTAGTCTGCTTTTTGGGGATGATATAGTCTGTGCATGTTGAAGTCAGCAATGCTCACATTATCTAGAGGCTGAAAAAAGATTCTGGACATCTAAACATGGTATTAAACAGGAAGTTTTAAAAACATCAAGAAACATTAGATCTAGACTTCAGTACTCTATAAATAACAGATCCTCCAAATTCAAACTATAAGGCCATCTTATTCACTCTATTGGGAACACACACTAAGATAATTGATATCAATAACAATAAAAAGTAGAGTTTTATACTTAAAGTATTGACTACATAGATTCCAGCCCCAGAATACGAAATCCATAAGAATATTTTGACTCATAAAGTGGAGGTACTAGGTATCAAGGATAAAACCTTGAAACAGGAAATTGAAAATGGTATCTTAGGATTTGCAAATACGTTGTCCGATTGGACAAATAATAACATGTGGGGCACCTCTGAGTAATTCTACGCTCTCCACTTTCTAGCCTATGTATTTTCTAAGATATCAGGACGATTCTATACTAACGGCTACTCTTGCTTTTTAGATTTTAGCGCAAAAGACCTACATTTTTCTAAATAGGATTCTGATCCTATTTAAGATTATTATGCTGATTTGCCAGTTTAATCGCCTAGATACTTTGCGATTACAGTCAGTGAAAAATTCTTCTAAGAATTCTTACTTGAATTCTTTAATAGAAAGAAGAGATTGAATTTGCTTGAGTACATGGAACTATTCCCTGAATTTGATGGCTATTCTGAAAGTATGAATGTATTTGAAGCTTCAGACTTACTACCAGATTTAATGAAACGATTCTCTGGAGAGGAAAGAATTAGTTTGGAGTTCAACCCTAAGAACCCAATTTAGGAAGGTGTAGATTATTCCAAGAAAAATATCAAAGTTAATTTCCACTAAAACTCGGTTGATCTACTCATTCCTCTTATCTTTGATATTGTGATTGGAAAGACTCTTTTTACTTGGGAACCTATTGGATAAGGATACCTAGGAATTGGTGGTATAACTTAAATCAATCAGTTTAAAGATGGATCATTAAATTTCGATATAAAATCTAAAATAAGACTCTAAGAGCTATACATGACAGATACCGAAACCTAAAAACGTAAGTCATTAAAGGTATATTGACAATTTAATTATAGGTATTGAAGATAATGCAAGCATTATAAAGGTATTAGGAAACTTATTCATAAAAGAAAACCTATCTCCTCCTCAAACTTACCATGCTGATCCAAAGCTACTCCTTGACTTAAATTGGGGAAACTTCAACATAGTTGAGTATTTAGAAAAGAAAGTTAAAATGAGATTCATCGAAGGCTACTTTGAAATGATAGTAGATGAATTAGATACTGACAAGTTTCCACAAGATTTAGGACTCGTCAATAAATTCGGAGGAGTCAGTGGTGGATTTAGTCACGATCAAAATAAAAGGAAGACTGCATGGGAGAATAAACAAAAGAGATTAGAGAAAGAGGCTAAGCTTAGGGAGGAACAAGCTTTAGCTGCTAAAAATTCAAGCTCTGATCAAGTCAGCCAAGAAACTCAGTGAATTCGATTAGGAAATTAACATGACAATTAATTTACCTATTGATTTCTTAAATATTCAATCTTATAATTTAACATAATTATCTCGTTATTTCAAGAAATCAATACCTTATGGGGTTTTGGGGTTTTGGGGTTTTGGGG